TATCTTTATGTGTATTTATAATTATATGAACAATAGTCATTCTTCTACACATGTAGCTTGAAAAATTCTTATAACTAAAGTGACTTTATATTTTCAATCATACAGTGTTACTAGTCTATCAAACTTTTATTTTCAGGTATTTCTAAAACCAGGAATGTATGCTGCATGGCTATATAAACTTAACATTTTGTTTATAAGCCCAGGACTTAACATGTAAATTTTAGAATCTTATGTATTTTAAAAGTCAAATAGAGACTCACTGTTTTTGCAACTATCTAGTTAAGTGAATTGTGTTAATATATTACACTGTTCCACATAGACTACCCAACAATTTATTTAGCTCACTAAAACTATGGTGTGATTTCTAAACAAGTTTAAACATGCTAAGAGAAAATACTTTAAATGTGCTGTTCAGGTTTCTTAGCTTCTGTATCTCGGTCTTGCCATGTAAATACATAATTAAATCATTTGTATTTTTAGCATTTAAATGTGATTTAACAAGTGTACAAAAAGATGAGGGACTCAAATTATTTTTATGAATAACTACAGCCAGAAGTGTACTGTACTTATATATTGATATTTTAATAATATCTGCATCATGAACAGGATTTGAGGTCTCAAAGAAGAAAAAAGGCTCTAGAAATTTCTCATCAGTGGTATCAGTACAAGAGGCAGGCTGATGATCTCCTGAAATGCTTGGATGACATTGAAAAAAAATTAGCCAGTCTACCCGAACCCAGAGATGAAAGGAAAATAAAGGTAATGTTGTTTTAGAATGTCAATACTAGATTTTATTGCTACAGTTTAATTACTTTAACTTAATCTGTAAGGATCATATTAAAAATATTAATGTTCCTGTTGCCTCTATTAATGTTCTCTTTGATTTGGTGCATTTCTTTGTATTGTGTTTTGTTTTAGTAAATGTATTGTATTAAATGTTATTCAGTTGACATGATGTTGAATGAATAAAATGTTTTGCTTTTAGACAATGTAAAATGAATTAAGAAATGTCATGTGTTTTCTGGTAAAATT